TCACAAATGAGTCCTTTAATGCTCTCTTCCTTCCCATTAGTATTGACTATCTCAGTTGTAAATCCACTTGCCCTCTTAAATTCTTTAACTTGGCTAGCAGGGGATGGTGCTATTGGGCCATCAAATCTTCTTTCTGTGTTTCTTCTGGCAGCATGCACATCAGGAAGCCAGCTGTGCAAAAGCCAGCTGCCAAATAAGGGGAAACAAACCCTTGCCAAACATCTGCCCCAAAGCTCTCCAATCTCTCTATTAACCTCCACCCTGCAGCCTTCTGGCACAGACAGGAATCATCACAAGTGAGGAAACGGAGGGAGAGAGAGATGTATTGCTCTTCTTTTGTAATTCTTTGAAAATACCTGTAACATTTTCACAGGATCCTTTCTGCATCGTGCTTGCACAGCCATCCTACTGCTGGTGCCTGCCACACACTTGCCAACATCCATGCAGGGCGGGTGGCATCCTGACAGGGCAGGTTTCTCCCTCATGTGCAGAAGGGAATGGACATGGAGCAGGGATGTAACTTGCCTGAGGTTACAGCAAATGTACCAAGTACCAAGAGCAGAAAAGAACCCCAGACCACATTTCTGTGCTCTAAGAGTCCAACAGACTCTTCAGTTGAACTGTAGCTTTGGTGACAGCTCTGGTGTGTCCATCCCAAATCAAGCTTTGCTCTCTGCTGCTATCAGCACTGTACTGAGATAGATTAACTTGGACAACTGGGATCTGCCCCAGGCCAAGGCAGCACTTGGCAACCTTTCCAGTTACTGCCTGTTTTTCCCATCTGGTGCCCAGCTGGGGCCTTCCTTTCTTCAAAAGCATCTTCTTGCTTCTGTTCAGTCACGGGCAGGGTGCAGTGCTTTCCAAGCTTCCTGCACTCCTTTGTACAGCTTGCAGCCTGCTCTAAGGACATCCCGTACGGAGAGGAAAGGATTCTGCTCAGGATTTCACACAAATGTGTCAGCCAACGCACAGCTGAGCGGAGCACGTGCCTCTTTCTGGGAAAGGAGCTGGAGAGCCAAAGCAGAAGCAGCCCAGTCCATCCTGTCCGCGGGGAGCAGAGCTTCCTGGAGTCCCTTCTGAAGTGCAGCAGCAGGCTGGGCCACCTGCTTTTGCAGGCAAAAAAAAGACATCTGCGGGCAAGACAACCAAACAAGCGCGGCTGACCTAATGGCCAAACATACACATTGGGTGTGGGTATACAGAAATGTCAGAAATAATCCTGTGCTCTTCCAAAGGCTGGCATCAAGATATGTGTGATAAGGTATCTTAACAGATGAGCCTTTAGGATAGTTGTCTGTACATCAGCCTTTTTCCACACAAATCCTATAAAAAAAGCCAGCAGAAAAGCAGACTAGACCATGGCCCCTGGAGATCTCACTTAACACCAAGACATTCACCCTCAGCCTTCCTTAAGCACGGGTATCTGAAAATGGGGAACTGACAGACTGATAGCAGGATGAGTTGAGTGCTGAGACCCCATAGTCCAAGGTCAGCTCATGTTCAAGGGCAAAATAAAAAAGAAAAGATTCGCTTATACTCAGGTAATTTGGTGATTATAAATTATACAAGTTCTAAGAACAACAACAACAACAAAAACAGCTTGGTTTTAGGGGACATCAAATGCAAATTCTTTTGTGGAGGTCCAAGCATCAATATAAAACGTTATCCTATTTGCATGGTAATTTAGACATACAGTGATGCAGCCTTTCATGTTTGTTGTGCTCCTCCCCTTGCTATTCTGCAGAGCTTTGAACTAAAAATGGGGCCCGAGAAGACCATTTGAGTTAGTGCAGAGGCTGGAACGAGGGATAACTTGCTTTCTTGCAAGCAGGGGGCAGCCAGAAGAGTGCGCAGAAGCTCTGCAGGGTTTAGGGCTATATAACGGTATGACAGAAAGCTGGGGCTGCGCTCTTTGCTCATGCTTTCTCTGGGCCACGGCAGCACAGACTGACCAAAGGAGAGCAGGGCAGAATGGCCATGTATCTAGACACTTTCTCAGGGAGAGTCACCACAGCAGAACCTCCGCTGAGGGCACAAGGGCAAATGCCCAGCTGAAGCAAAAGGGTGAACATGAGACCAGAACGGGATGGTCAACCCTGTCTGCGGTTAATACGTCCTGCTGGGTTCACCATCGTATTCCACAGCGAGCCAACAAGCACACCCCATGTTAATAACCTGCTTAAGGGGCTGCAGATCAGAAGGGTCAGTGGTCAATTTTCTGTGATAGCCACATGTGCATTGCCTTAATTCATTCAGCCTTCCTGATAACAACCCTACACAGGTAACTACTTTTCCCCACCCTTTCTACTTTAATCCCCTAGTAAAATATATGAACACAAAGCATAGAGAGGAGAAGCCAAAAAGTTTCCATTTTATGGTCCTGTACTATCATGCCAAACCTGCTATTTGTGCAACCAACTCCTTCTGTGAGCAGGAAAAAACACTTGGCTGTGCTTCTGCTTTACTTGGGGAAAGCACTGAGTGTAGCTAATATTTAAACTCACCTCTTTCTGTCCTATACACAAAAGGGTAGTTTCCTTCCAGACCCCAAAGGGTTATGCTGAAAGCAGGTGCACATCACACAGTGCAAAGGGTTGGGGGAAACTGCAGGGTTGTGGGGTTGCTTCAGGGCACGTGGCAGGCAAAAAACAGAACCAGCAATAAGGGCAATAAAAGGACTTCATAGTGCTGCACTGGGCAAAGGTTTTTAGGGGAAGTCTGTCCTTCAGAGGGGAGGTGTAGCCTTGGAAGACTCAGTCTCAGCATGTCTTGCCCCATCTTTGCCTAACACAGAGATAATCTGACAGAGATCTGGGAGCCTGCAATCTGCCAAGGTTCACCCGTGTAAGCAGGACGCCTCGTTGCTCTAGCAATGCCAAAAATGCTCTAATCTTCGTGCAAAGGCTCTGCGGATTGTTGAGTTTGTGCAACCTGGCTCGAAGGGACAGACACTGACCCAGGAGGATAAATACGAGGAGGAGGTTGTGTGGTATTTACGCTGAATTGCACAACCCTGCTTTAGGACGAGGAACATTCACAAAGACCTGAGCGGGCCCCGTAGGATTTGATTTGAGCATGGGATTTCTGTTAAGTTTTGATCAGATTCTATACTTAAGAAAAAGACTTCTTAAGGAAGGCTTTTTTTTTCCCGTTTTATCTTTTCTCCCTAGCCTCTGAGGTGAGAGTTCTTCTCCTCTGTCAAGTCAACTTGATAATCTCACTCCTGAGCCAGCATTGGAGAGAAAGGCAGGCACGTGAAGGAAGAAGCCAAGAACTGGAGACCTGGTGGTCTGTGCTTCTTAAGAAACAATTTGGAAATATTCCCTCTTAGCATTAGCATGTGCTTACAAAGTGGGAGAAATGCAGCTAAGGAGCATTCTCAGAGCAGCTGGCAAGATAACTAGCACTTTTGCATGAGGAGGCAGATACACTTAGTAAACAACGCTGGCCAGTCCCCTCTGTTCCCTGGTAGGCAGCAAGGCCCCTGTTTTTGGAGGGGAGGAATCACTGCTTTAGTGGTTGGCCACAGCCAACTAGTGAATATGTCTGATCTTTTAATCATGCCATGGACAATACCGTGCCTTGCACTGCACAGTTAAAAATCCATTATGTTTAAAAATAAGTGTTTGCTTAATCACTAAGAGGACTTCTTACCCTGTATGCATTTCGAATAGATGATCTGCAATTCAGGCTCTTTCTTGTGATGCAAAGAAATTTTGAGAGAAAATTTCTATGGGAAACTTAAAACTGCACTTGTTGCCTTCACCAGGATCTAAAGCAAGCACAGAAGCAAGATGGGCAGTCCTTCCTGAAAGAGCAAGAAAACACACACTTGTGTCTTTGTCAAAGGTTTTCACCTCAGGGAAAAATGCCAGTTCAGCCAGAACCTGAGTCTCAAGTATTCTGAAGCCAACGGTTAAAGACTGACCAGAGAGAGAACACATTTCCTAATTCCAGAAATTAATTTGCATTAAAAGCGAATGGTTGGTGACCTAGCAATTCAGTCCAGCAACCTAATTTACCATGAGGTTTTCTGATTATCCCAGCACCAAATAAACACAATCATTCCATACACAGGAGAGTTCTCACACAAGCAAAACTTGGTCCAGAAGAGGGCAGAGATGGGATAAACAGCAGTTTCCTCCAATGGCTTTTTTTTTTTTTTTTGGAGCTGAATCTGTTCACAATCCCTTGTTGTGGAAAACCGCTAATGTCTGACACCACCACACAGATGCTTTCAGTGTTAACAAATCTCTTCTGTAGGAATGAAAAGACAGAGTATCAGTGGCTGAGTCCCATAAAATGTGTTTTCTTCAACTGCCTCTCTCTGTCCTGATCTTCAGACTGTACAACTCTAGTTCTGGTTTGGTGCAGGATTCATTTTTTTCTTATTTGAACAAAGTTTAACATTTTTGGAAGAATATGGGTCTCATGAGAATTAAGTATAGGCTGAAGTCTGTAAACATGACTGGGTTAAACTCCTCAGTATGTTACTCCTAGGCAAGGACTGAATTCCAGAAGAGCATGGATGGATTACAGATTGAATCTGATCTGATTGATGATAATTTCATGTGGAACTAAGGATAGATTGCATTGGTATGTGACATGACAGCTCTAGCTAGTACTGACTCAGAGTGAAATGCCACCTACTTGTTCCCTTTGCAACTGAAAGAATTGTGTTATGTTACTCCTGGCTAGACCTGCCATAATATTGGATGCCCTACTCCGTTCCCCTTCCTGTGCCCTGATTATGGAATAATCTTGGTTGACACAAACTGATCAGGTTTAGTGAATGAATTAAGAATTGACCTCCTCCTTTGGTTAAAAGTACCTGGCATCTCAGACTCAGCCCTGATCTTGCAAATGGATTGGTTTTGGGGGTAGGATTACCTGGAGCCTCATCTGATCCTTCCCATTCTGGAAGAGACACCTTCCATCTCCAGTGCCTACCTAGAAGGTGTCTTCAGGCCCTTCTGCATTCATTCTCCAGACCAGTCAGTTCTGCCAGGCACTGCCTGGCACATTGAGCAACTTCAGCTTCGTTTAACCATAGCTTAAAATAACTCATCAACCAATCATAAAATGGATTTTTTGGTTTCTCCTGGCTCCATGAACACAAAGAGGTGCACGTCCTACCATAGGAGGAAGCAATGGCTGTTAAATTTTACAATTATAGTGGAAAGCACTGATCACAGCCTGCTGGCCTCACTACTGGATGTGACAGGCAGTGGAGGAGGTGGCTTGGCAACACATGCAGGTAGGGTTGACCGATTTAGGGGGGATTAGGTCGAGGTCCTCGTCGTCTGGTATCTCATCTAACCGGTATCCATCCTTTAGCAGCTGGATGTTCAAGTCTTGGTTGATCTGCTACAGACAAAGAGACAAACAGTCAAATACTTGAGACTTTTTCCTTCTGACAGGTCAGAAGTGCAGGGAGGTCACTTATTCCCGAATACCTATCATTTGGGAATGTCCTGCCAATAAAAGAGTGCCAAGTTTTGAAGCCAGTTGAGGACTCCTCCTGACGGTCTCATTTCTTCCAGAATAGGAATATGTACAAAGTGAGATATTCCAGAGCAGCTGCAGTTTATTAATACGCTATTTTATTCTGGAATATGGTTTCGATGAAGATGAGTCCTGATAACAGCACTGATAATAAACAGACTTGCAGCAGGACAACCCTTCCCACCAGTCCAGGGCACTGAAATAGTTGCAAGGGGATAGAGTCATTGCTGGTAATACTTGGTTCTTTGTAGATTCAGATTCAAGAGCTGTTTAGCCGGACCTGAACGAAAAAATGCTTTGCATGATGGCCTAGAAATGGCCAGATCATTTGATCTGCTCCCTGCTCTTGGCCATTTCTCAAAGTTTCAATGGTATTTTGCCCAAAGAAAGGATGCAAGGGGGAAGAGCTCCTAGGGGCTTGTGTGCAGAACGGCCGCTCAGCACCCTGGAGGTACAATCTGATCCTGTAGAAACAGTAGCCAGAGGATGAGCAACTAACTTGCTAGAGGACTTGGGAATATATTCAGAGACAACAGCGGAGAATTGACAAGCCTTAACTTCCTGCCTTTTCTCCTGGAACGGGCAAGAGTTCGTGATTGCAAGACCTCTCTGAGAGTTCTGTCTGCTCTATGTTGGGCGACCCTGATACTCGGGGGAACTGGAAACAACTGCATGTCCACAGAGCCCCTGTTTGTGTTCCTGGCACGTCGACAGTTGCTGAGCTGCCATGACCAGCAAGCTAATGCTTTTGCATGGGCCAAAACTGCAGGCTGGGCAGAACTGTGAAAAGCTAAAGGCAGCTGTGAAAACAGCAGGCAAATTTGTGCCTGTGCCACAGCAGTGAGGAAAGGGAGCCAACTAGATCACTGAGGAAGAAAGAAGCACGAAATAGTTTTTGCCACAGCCCCTTCCAGATTCACATAGTTTATACCACTGCCAAACTGCCTGTGCAGCCCTTTCTGGCTGGAAAAGGCTACTCTAAGCCCTTGCAGTCTGCTCTAACATTAGCATCTGTGGCAAGCATGGCAGGAGAGAGTATAGCTCACCTCAGCTGATGAGTATCCCGAAGAAGAATATCTGGACATGTCAAAGTCATCATCACTGCAGGAAGGACAACACATAGCAAAGAAGGAAACAATTAAAGATTTGTATTCCTCTGTTACTCCTATCTTGTACCAGGAAGTGCTCCAGGCACACAGAAGTTATACCAAGGTGGTTTGAATATCAACCTTCCATCTGTGAATCTCAGACCTTTTCATAAAATGCTCTTAAATCATGTCTCTTCCTACTTGTTCCTTAAGAGACTAGTGCCATGCCCAAGGGCAAGGAAGAGTGCAAGTGCTCTGCAAGAAAGGGTTCAGCACAGGTCCAAGGAGGAGTTAGCCTCAATGTTACACTCTAGCATGGAAATCTGCTGTCGCTGTAACATAATCATCTTATTAACACTTGGCATACCTGTCCGTATCCAGGGCTACCAGTGGCTTCTCGTCTGGACTCTGGTCTAGTGATGAATAGCCTTTATTGGGAACGACGAGCCTGAAATAATTAAATGTTGTCCATTAACCACACGGTAAAAATCAATACCATACATAGTCTAGGGCAAAGCCATATGACAGTGAGGCTTTCCTTGTATCACTTTTCTACAAGTCCACTCTCACTGGTGAAGATTTTACATGGGTACAACTCGGGGGAAATAAGTTGTGTCTCTGGGAACTCGGGGCAATTCCACCAGATTGGATGCTGAACATACCTTGGGAACACATTCCTCTCTGGAAGTCAAAACATTTGGGACACTCCATGCTTCATTCTGGTGAAGCTGCCTGGCCAGCATTGCCTGTCACATCGGATTGCTCCTTTTTGTTTTGTGTTTCCTAGCACTGAGTAAGTGACACTAGCCGGCAAGTAAATGGGAGAAGGAGGCTATGGGAAGGCAGTGGCTTGGTACTCCTGCTATTCAAAATCAGGGATTTGGCCATTTGGTCTGAAACTCTCCCCATCCCCTGCAGCAAAATACTTCTGAGCTGTCACTCCTAAATTTAGTAATATCAGAAAGATGAACTGCTGGGTGCAGCTAAGAGCCCACTCAGATTAGCACTTTTTAAATCCCATTATTTTATAATGACCCTCAGTTCATCAGAAGCGTTGCAAAGCTGACTATGAGTGTGCACCTTTAATTGCCTAAGAGCATAATGTAATGGAATATAGACTTGGGAGCTTCTAGGAAAAGAAAAATGCATTATTTCAGTGGTATCCAGCTCACAACACAGAACTCTTCTTTCATCTATAAAACTGCACAAGGACTTTGGTTCACATTTAAAATAAGATCAAACAAAATGGGAAAATGAAGCAAGAGTCTGTGTTCAGTGGGTGGGAACAGTAAGAGTAGGATGAACATCTTATTCAGTGATTACCTAAAATTTTCTTCTAAATGAATGACTGGTCTTTAATGACATAAAATAGTGCAGAAGGGCTTCAGTAAGAGTTTGGGAAATACATTCCTGGAGACAATGTATCCCATCCACGCTCCGACTGCTCTCTATTCAGATGCAATACTCTTCAGCTGCAACTCCCAAAATATTAGGAAGCTTTTTGTTACAACTTATATAAACGCCTGCCAAGCACTGAAAATTGGAAAATGTCAGGGAGAGAAGAAAATAGTTAACATCAAAGCAGGTGTACAGGCCCATTACTAGTTGCATGCGCTTACTGTGCTCATTGAAACTCAAGATTAAAAATTTTATTTTAAAATGCATACATAATTTCCCACCTCCGGTATCAGAGAACTGTGGAAAATGGCATCCACTTACAAAATTCAATACCATTCCCACAGCATTCAGAGTCCTTCTAATCCTAAAGCAATTAGGATGGAAGCCAAGAAGCAGAGATATCTGGAACGAGTGACTGAAGCTGTGATCTGGCAGAGGCAGCCTGCCTGCAGGGATGTCACAGGTACTGACTTCCATGGTCATCCTCTGGTTTTCAAGTCACATTTTCAAATACATTCACCGGCAGTAGTTACTATGTCTTGAATAAACAAATCAGTATCAGGAAATCTGGGAGAAGAGCCCTTTGGGTGCAATTCACTTGATCAAAAAAAGTCACTGTATCTTTTTGTTGAAAAATTACTTTTCTTTTCTTAAACATACTTTTTTTTTTCTGCAAAAGACAGAATTTGTGACACTATCTTTGTTCCTTATCTAAGTCCTTCCCTCACATCCTGTCCTCATTCTTGGTTCCCACTGCCCTTACAACAAAGCTGGGTTTCATTCGTATCTGCTTTCATCAGCAGGTGGTCTAGCATAAACTTCTTGTCTAGATGTTTTTGGTTACCTAACATGAATTCTCTTATGACAAAATCTCAGTTCAACTCATGTGCTGAGTGGACTACAGAGACAAGATAGTCAATCCACTGTAACAGAAAAACATAGGCCAGAGTCTGGAATGTGATTGGATAGAGGCAAAGGGATGAATGCTACCAGTCAGCTACAGGAGAGAGGCTGCTGATCCCTTAACAACGTCACGCTGCTGGTCTACATGGAATGAGCTGTTCTCCCAGATCAGTTCCTAATGGGCAGGTGCTCAGCTTGCAGAGGGCTGCATCGATGCTGGGATTTCTGTCAGCCTCTCTAGTGGTGTGGAAGTGGGACGGATGATGCTGCGGGTTCTGCAGCGAGTGTGCCAGAACCACACCAGCCATGTTCACCTTTAGTTTGGTCTTGGGAGGGCTGGACACATTATGCGTCCAGATCCTTTCACCTTTGAGGCTGCTATACCCTCACCCCAGGAAAAGGCAGAATGGTGAAGGAATCTGGTACTAGATGCCAGATGTCAGGGGTTCAGACAGGTAATACAGAGGAACCAAAACTCAGGGGAGGAGGAGGAGGTGGAGGGGGGCTAAGGGGAGTCAATGTAGACTGAGTGAAAGAAAACATACTTGATGAGAAAGGCAGACTATTAAAGAGGGGGATAGACTTGTTTTTTTTTCCTCCTGAGAGACTAGAAGTCAATGGATCAGACTTAAAAAACAGCTACAAGCCCTGTACTCCCACTGGAGTATTTCCCACTGGACTGCAACCTTTATATTGTGAAAGCAAGCTATTTGAAAGGTTTGTAGGCATTTATGCCTCCCTGAGGCTGTCCATGGCAAGACAGATTGAACCACGCTGAGGTATTGCTTGGGGCTCTGCCCATGGTGTTGCTTGGCTCACAGAAAGCCAAGGGATGGAGAAACGGACCAGCGAGGCATCGTGCCAGACATCTTCCAGCTGCATGGGAACAACAGAACTTGGCTATATCTGCTACCAAAGCAGCGTCTGCAAACCTCTGCTTTGGGACTCCAGAGGATGCTTCTGAAAGCTCTGTGAAGAGTAACTAAGAAAAGCAGGACTTCTGCCTGAAGGCTGAACTCAGTTGTGGACGGGTCCACATGCCCCTTCAACAGTGTTCAGGTACAAATGCAGTAAGACTGAACTGGCTGTTCCAAAGCTTTTGGCGTGGAGTATCAGTCCTTTGCCTCTCCCCACCCAAATTGCTCTTCTTCCCATCTACAGCTCTTAAACAGCAGCATCTCCTGCAGAAGTCAGGAATTTTACAGGTAGGCCTGTATTTATCTCACCTTCTCTCCCTTGCCATCTCTGCCTGCTGATTTCAGTGTTTCTACATCTCTCAAGCAGCAAATCTGCCACCACTCCTCTTGGGAAGCTAGTGTGCAGCCTCTTGCCAAAAGAATCCAAGTTTTTGTCCATACTCAGCTTGTATTTGGAAGACAATGAGGAGCAGTGGGCATGGAAAACTCAGCTGTCGGTTTCTTACATTTACTGAATTTATTTTTTCCAGTAAGGGACTGGCTCCTTTGTATGGCCTTGACTTCCAAACGCAGAGCGCTGAGCAATGCGACGTATTCCACCAACATCACAGGGACTTACAAACAAAACTTGACAAAGTCTTGGCATGATTTATGGCTGCTATTGTGGCTTGGGGAATTACTTTGAACAAGGAACCTCATCTGTTGGATGTGTTGCATACAGAGAGGCTCTGACTTGCAGCTCCATACTTAATGTATGGTAATCCATGCAATTTTCTTATTCATCAGTAAACATCCAGCTTTCATGCAGATTCTGCTGTCATTTTAAGTGAGGACCACTATTAAAAACTGTCACCTTTCTTACAACATGCAAAGTGTGCCCTCCTGTGGACACAGGAGGGTTGCTGCCTCTTGTATGTCCATAAGTGATATGCTATTGCATTGAAGCTTGCTTGGAAAAAAAATTGAAACTAGCTAATTTCAGCCAAGAACTTAAATTTTGTATCCAATGGTCTGTAGCACAGCCTGATACTGTCACAGAGAGATGTGCCAAAGCAGCTCTTGCAAAGTACGACTCTGCTGTTCAAAGTGCAGGGGAGATATATAACAAAACACATGGAGATGTATTATTCACAAGCCTTTGTAAAGTCAATCGGTGTGGGGAAGGGGTTATTTTCACAACAGAACAGAAGATCTATTGGGATAAAAGCAGCCAAGACAGAACTGAGCTCTAAACATGAGCAGCTACATGAAGCAGCACTGCACATTCTCCTGCTGCTCAGATTACGTGGGACAGACGACTCAAAAAGATGCAAGACAACGAGACTGCCCACATCCTGGCTGGGCTGCCTCTGCCCTCCTGCAGGCTGTATTGTCGCTGGACCTTTATTTATCCGTTTCCTTGCTCTCCCTGGGGATGACATGGAGCACAACACGGAGCATTTGGGCCCACCAGCTCTGGGAAGGGCTGTCGCTGCGTGCGGTGTGTTTGGTGACTGGCACGTGGCAATGAGCATCGTCTCTGCCCGATAGTGAGGTCCCTGGGGATGGCTGCGCAGAGCCGTGCAGGGTCCTTCCTGGCCCCTTACCTTGTTCGTGCCATCACGTTGTTCTTCTTGGGCTGCTGGTTAACTGGGCTTCCCATGTTGCCGTTCTTCAGGGAGCCCTTCCGAGCCACGCTCCCACTGCTCCTCTGCAGATGGGCCACAAAGGGAAGAGGCAGAATTAGGGCAACAGGCGAGATGGCCACCATAAGGAAAGCTGGATCTGACGACGCAAAAGGCAGGGCAGAATTAATGAGCTCTGGGATCAGAGCTTTCCACCTCCCAGGCAGGAACCTCGCAAGGGCCCCGCTCCCTCAAGGGGATGAGGGACACATGAACATGGCTGGAGGCAAACAGAGCCAAGCTGGATGAGAGCCATGATGGCTCCAGAAGTCCTGCAGCAACACTAGCCTTGTACCAGGCTAAGGCTAGGATACTCTGACCCCATATCCCATAGCAGAAAATAGTTATCTCCCCTGTTTCTCCTTCTGGCAGCCTGCGGTGTCCTCGGAGGATCCTCCTTTTTTATCTCACACGGATTCATAAATCCTGGGGGCTTTATTTATTTTTTTTTAAAAAAGGAATGAAACATTTGGAGCTCTATTTTTAAGCAGCATAAAATTTGTTTAATCTTCAGAGCATGTTCTAGTTGCCAGTGAGATGTAACCTTAAAACTGACAGTAGGTGGAGGGCTTTTTGGGTGTTCACTGCAAGAGGGGATTTAAATCAGATTTTCACTGAGGACAGCCTACTTCTTCCTAATACCTTTGCAGCACAGGAACACAACTAGAATTCAGGCCTGAAAGCCCCAAAGCCTAAGGCTGTTGAGGATTTGCAATCTTTGCGTTGTACTAACACATCTCTGCCTCCAGCAGGGATGACAGCCCATGTACGACAGGTTGCCATGTAAGCATTAAAAAACCCAGTGCCTGGAAAATCTTACGCAGTAGACACAGAATGATGCACAGGGTATTTTTCATCCTCTGCTTTGCAGAGCTTATCCTGAGTGCAAGACAGCTGAATGGCAGATGGGTAGAATACAAAGGATGATCTCCCTATATTTTCCCCCCTTTTCTTCCTGTCTGTTTTGATATCCAATTTTCCATTCATTTTCCTTCCTGATTTCTTTGGGGAAATTAGTTGGGCTGAGCTGGCACAAAGGTGAGCTGACTGCCCCCGTCTCACCCTGTAGGTGAGGCTGAGGAAGGTAAGGGCCCAGTTAAACAGAATTCTCCATAGTGTGAGAAAATGCTGGAAAATATTCTTGTGCCATGCCTGAATAGCAAGAAATTACCAGACTGCTGCCTGGGGAACCTGAATAGTGAATTTGTTCTGATTCTGCATCCCCTGTGGTGTGTGGAATGTGTTTATATACATACTTACATGTTATTTTGTCCTGCAGAATTTTTTACTTCCTTTGTGGGAAAAGCATCTGTTATTTGTCTTAGGAGAGCTGCAAGCTTGCAAGAGCAAGATAGGCAAACTCTGCCCTTTCCACAAAGATAAGTGTAGGGGAGTGCATGTCCAAAGTCTCATTTTTTTTCAGGGACAAATAACCAGTGGAGATTCCTAGATATTGTGGTGCTGAGCACGGCTGAGGAGCCTGCAGAGAAGAGCACACACTCATATGAGCCATGTCCAGTCCTGCTTCTGCTGACAGCAGGTGTGAACAAATGCTCATTGAAGCTGCCAGGGAAAGGATCAGGCTAATAACTCCTCCTGGCGTGAGCTGCAAAGAGACTGATACAGGATTGAAGATAAAACCTTAAATCAAGGTAATAGCTCTTGCCTGTAACTTGCAAATGCATTGGTTGTGTTTGTTCCCAGAATAAAGGCCTGGTATTTCTCAGGCCACACGAATTCTGCTGTTTAGTTGTAGTGAGATGAAGCATGGTTTTTGACCAGACTTTTGACACCGTCTCTCACAACATCCTTCTGGGCAAGCTCCGGCAGTGTTGGATACATGAGTGCACAGTGAGGTGGATTAGGAACTGGCTGGATGGCAGAGCTCAGAGGGTGGTGATCAGCGGTGCAGAGTCTAGTTGGAGGCCTGTAGCTAGCGGGGTCCCCCAGGGGTCAGTCCTTGGTCCAGTCCTGTTCAATTTATTCATCAATGACCTGGATGAAGGCACAGAGTGCTCCCTCAGCAAGTTTGCTGATGATACCAAACCGGGAGGAGTAGCTGATACCCCAGAGGGCTGCGCTGCCATCCAGAGGGACCTGGACACACTGGACAACTGGG